ATAGTGAAGGTATGGTGCATGTGGGCAATACTTGCTTTATTTTTGATGAATATAACGCCTGCCTGTGTAATTACAAACAGATGCATCAAAAGACATTATTAAGAAGAGCAAGTAGGAATTGGAAAAAGCGGCTTAAGTACATGTTCAGAAAGTATGAGCTTACCAGAAACTGAGGTTTGCCCCAGGATCCAGTTTTTTAAACTTGTATCTGCACCTCAGGGTATTTTCCAAGAGTGTAATCATAGTAGCAGCTCTATGCCAGCAGAAGTTTCAGGATTTATTGTACCATGGCTAACAACACTTGGCAAACGTGTGACCTAGACGGTGTTTGTGGTCCAGTGCTGACCATGGTGAACTGACTGTGCCAGAAATTAGTTCATCTTTGAGCACTGTTTGACTCCTTAAGAGTAATATTCCTTATCTGACTATTCTCCAAATACTCAAGTCTTGTGTAGCACTGGTGTCCTCTGTCACAATCTGGAAACTGCTGGCGTGAGACTGTATTCAGCTCCTACAATCTGTAACTAACTTCCAGTCTCAAGATCAAGATGTCCCAAGATCACCTCATCTGAAGAAGTGCATTTTTCCTATCTAACATCCCAAGTCTCCCCTTCACTGCCATTCGTGCCCAAAAAGAACTATACCAATCTTGAAGGCTTCATTTATATTGTCATATTGAGGAAAGTAATTGACCTGGATACTGCTTTGAAACTCTGGTTATCTGACACACACAGTGCCCGTATGACTATCTTACTGCTTGTTAGAAAGAAGCAAGCAAGCCAGCCTCACCAGAATCAGGACCATGTGTTATAGGAAATCTGAGGTCAAATGTGGTGAACAATATATCTTGGCTGTTGAGTTCACATTCTGTATCTTGTAGCTAAATGCCCAAAGCTTGGTACAATAGGCAATGATAATAGTTTGCAAAAATGTTGCAAGTTACCCAGTTACGATTCTCTGCAAGTTCTCAGTCACAGAAATATTTCAGGACACTTTGCCCCCTGCCATGAATGTCTTCAATACTGACTAAGTTACTTGCCCCAAAACAACAACAAAACAGATTGAAGAAAAGTTTTTAAGTGAGTCTCTAACCCATTTATGTAGCTGTGGGAACAACAGTTGACGAGAGATCTTTTCTCATTTTCACTTGGTTACTTTTAACCTTAAGTCTTGCCTGTGGCTAGCCAGAGATAGTGAACCCAGCTGATTCCTTCCCTATTAGCTGGAAGAAGAATCTAGACAGAAGCATCAATTACTGCACAGGTGAAGAACTTGACTTTTTTTTCTTCAGTGACTTGAGGCATCCATTACAAAACAATAAGACATCTTGGAACATCTGCAAGACAGACCAGACTGGTTAACTGTAGAAATAATAGAAAAGTAGGATTGGAAGGGACCTTGGTAGGTCATGCAGTCCAGTACCCTGTATTGAGGCTGGACTAAATATTGTCTAGACACTCAAACAGTTGTTGGCTAATATGTTTTTAAAAACCTTCAATGATGGAGATTCCACAGCTTCGATAGGTAATTTGTTTCAGTGCTTAATTAATCTTACCATTGGGGAATTTTTCTAAAATTTAACCTATACCTTCCTTGTTTGTTTAATCCCATTGCTTCTTGTCCTGTTCTTAGTGGAGATAGAGAAAAGTTTGTCATTTGCTTTTTTTTTATAACCTTTTACATACTTGAAGATTACTCTCCTGTCCCCCTTCAGTCATCTTTTTTTCCAGATGAAATAAACCCAGTCTTTCATCATCATGTTGGTCTAGACTGTTAATTATTCTTGTTGCTGTCTTCTGGATTTTCACCAATTTGTCCGCATCTTTCCTGAAGTGTGGTCCCAGCTGAGGCCTTTTTAGGGTTGAGTAGAGTGGAAGAATTACTTTTCATATTTCACTGACAACACTCCTGCTAATGAAAATGTAGGCTGTAGATACTGAGCTATTAGTGAAAGCTAAGAGGAGGAAGCAGTATTTTAATTCCAGGTTGAGGAAAACCTGGTCTACATATAAAAATGAGATTGACCGTAAGTTAGCTTCATGGATCAGGTTTGTGGAAAAAAATGTTGTGTGCTGAGCACTGTAGTTAAGTCAAACTAATCCCTGGGGTAGATGTAGCTAGATTGATGGAAAAATTCTTGAGTGGTAGGTTAATGACATCAATAGAAAAACCCTTTCTGTTGCTTTAGGAAATTTCTGCATAGTAGTGCTACAGTGACACAGCTGCAGCAATGTCCTTGTGTGGCTGTAGAGTAAATACAGCCTACGGTAATAAATTACAAGAATTAAAAATATTAAGTATGGACATAAGTAATTCAGCAAAACATTTCATGGAATAAATGGTCAATTTTCAACACAGCAAAAAGTCATCAGTGAAGTGGCCCCATGATTCTTTAATAGGACTGGTCACATTTTAGTGATATAGGCACATTTGGTAGTACTATTTATTAAAGTTGCCCAGCACATCCCATAATAAACTGTTTTCAGTTGGTTATAACTTTGTCAGACTTCGACAATTTGGGTTATTTCCATATGAAGTGTGTGCATCAATCTGAATCATTTTGCAAAATTTCAACCAACCGGGTCAGCCATTTCTGGCACTGAAGCGAGCGAGTATTATGTAGTTTTACCCCCTTTTTTTTAATCTGCCAATTTTTTCTTTGAGAAACTGTATCATGCACTTATTGTGGAGCAGGGACTTGCTACTTGGCATGGAAAGGACTTTGTATCAGGGATGTGCCTTTTGCTGTTCCAGTTAATATCTGCTTAAGTTTGGTCAAGCCTTTGAAAAATCACTATTCAGACATGCTCAGTAGAGACTTGTTCTGGAGCTTAGTAACTACATTCCCTGAAGTTTCTGTACATATAGGATGTTCTCCAACCCAGGACTGAACAGGATTTTTCATGCAGTTGTTATAGGTAACTGCAGCTGTGTTCTCTAGACAGACTCCCTTCCAGAGCCTGTAACGGCACCTACGGTTTCATCCGGCACCACCATGGCTGGATTAAGGTCATGAGGGGCCTATGTCTAATAGGAGGGAAGGACCTAAGAACGAAGTACATATTGCGGGGGGGAAAATTATGCCGTTGTTGTATGTACGTAAACTTAACACATTAATTCTTCTCCTTCAAACAAGCAATTTTGTTTTCTAAGTTTTAGCTGTTGCAAAGTCATGAATTGCCATTGTAATTCAAAGACTTAACAATTGCATTTTCTGTGCTCAAGAGGGACAAAGCACTGAGGTGTTCTTGAGTCATGGTAGATTGAAGGACATTTTTAACCTTTGTTATAAGAGAGAAGGAACATTCTCCACTACAATTAGTGATTAGTGAAAAATATGGCTGTAATGCAGTTTCAACATTTGGGAAAACTTATTTCACGTTGGATTCAGTGATAACTTGGTACATGCAAATAGATAAGCTTTCGTCATCTTTTCTATATAAATGAGTGATATGAATTCAACAAATTGTAGAAATTCTTTAGTAAAATCTACTGGGAGATCATCTGGGTGCCTCTGACATGTTCGCTAATAGCATTGTCTTTGCCAGCAGTGCAATGAATTATTACCAATAGTCTTTGAGAGAGATGATGTCTGGTCTCTTCTGCAATTTGCATGTTCACTGATGTGCTGAGCTAAGGAAAGGGTCAAACTTTGCAATTAGCTCTAGAACACAAGGTACTTGCCACAATGTTTTGATCCAACAGTTTCATCTGAACCATGAAATGGCAGACCATGCTCAGTAAGAAAAACTACGATTTCAGCTATGTGTCTGAGAACGTTCTTCCAATATGCATGAGCTGCCAAAAACTGGTTTTCAGTTTGGGTATCAATTCTGCCACTAACTTTTTTTGGGGCACTGTAGCTGCTAACTGACAATGTATGCTGCTCACTCATCTTGAAGTATTTTTGCAGGAAACTTGGTTGTGTGTTGAGGTGTGCAGCGAGTACATTTTCTCATTTCTGAAATCCATCATATCACATGTATTATTTAGGATGAAACATATGACTTGTATTTTTATTGTAGGGTTTTGTCTGTTCATATTTTACTGTTGCTTCTCGTGTCTATTCAATTTAAAATGGAGAAATCTTTCTCTGTTATCATGTATATTGAGGAAGAGGGTACTGTTCCTTTAAAATCAGGTGGCTGAGTTTTTACTAGTGCACTGCTTTTACACTGTACAGTATACACTATGCAAATGAGCTCCTGCTCAGCCTGTGTGTGGTTGGTTGCCTGTCGGGTAGCTCACAAAGACTCTGCAGACCTAATTCCAAATTCAGTTACTTAAAACGGCAGATGGAAGGAGGTGTCGGCGAGATGAGGGTTTATTAGCACCTCACAATAAAAGACCACACTGTTTCTGCAGAGGATTTGAAGAACTATGGTGAATGAAATTGAGTTGTATCTGCTTTTGGTTCACTTTGTGGTTAGCTCATACAACTCAGTCACTTAGCATGAAGACCGACCAAAGATTTCCATGTAAATATACATTCTTTTAAGCACCATCAACCTGTGTGCTTTTATTGAGACTTTTTTGGTTTCACGCTGTTGTAATTGTGGGGACAGAGCTTTTCAGCTAGCAATGGGAGGCGCTCTGCAGTCTGAGTTCTTACTAATGCCTACATATGCAGGCTTTAGGATATATAACAGAGTGATTAAAAGTTCCTCACACACAGCTCTTTATGGAATCTGAAATTTTCTTTTAAATACCTAGAAGAATTCCTCAGAGGGTGAACTTGCTTTTTTTGGAGGGGGAGGGGGAGAGAAATATTTATATTAGAAAGTTGTAGGTTCTTTACTGTGCTGTCATCAGGGGGCAGGATCTGTTGCCTTTACCCTGTGCTACAAATTCATGGGCTGTTTTTAATTGTTTCTCATGTTTTTCATATGTTTGATTTTTTTTTTAAAAAAAAGGCAAAATATAGGAAAAGCATTGTTTAAGAGTTTTGATATATTCAACCCATTATCTTTTAGTTTTAGATTTTTCATTAAAGCCGTGTTCATAGTAAGCTCATTTTCGCTGTTCGTTCTTGAATACACTCTAATTTCTCGAATTCAAATATGATTTTGATACTGCATATGGAAGGAAGGAAGCATTTTTTGCCTTGCTGAATTTATATGCATGAAAGTAACGGTGGAAAAAAGAAAGTACAAAGCAGGCTGAAAAAGCCTCAGCTGAACCGTGGCATCTTTCTAATCTACCACTTATACATGGATGACGAAAAGGGAAGGGCTTCTTATGACAGCTCTGTCAGTGATGAATAGATGAATGAATGAATTCTTACATGTTCAGAACTCACAACACGTGTTCCAGACCCTTCAATGCATAAAGGAGTAGTGAAATCTCAGTATTGAACTAAGACAGTAAAGAAAGACAGCGTCGTGCCTGCCACATTTGAGGAGAAAGAGACCAGCATACTTCAGAGATAGCAGAAACAAAAGAATGTGCTACAGTGTCTGAAGAATCTGACATTTGCTTTGTCTGTCGAAAGGAATAAAGAAATTTTGCGTGTTTGGCAAAATAAATTCCCTAGTCTTTATAATCAATTAGAAGAATAGTGAATTTTAGTAAAGTCGGAGGGTGTATTTTTGAAAAACAAATGTGGCCTGGATTTTGTGAGCTTATTGTAAACACTAGATAAAGGCAAGCTGTGGTAGTTTACTGAGCCTTTTTAACAGATCAGGTAAAATGAAATTGAACCAAGACCCAGGGGAAAAAAATCTGAATTAATTAATTTTTTTTGACATTTTGTTAGGACTTGGATTTTTACGTGTACACAAATGTGTGTTGGGGAAAACACATTCAAACTTGAAACAGATTTTTCAGATCTTTGCAGCTTTTTAATGTGATTTTACAGTGCCTGAGAGGAGACAGAAGTACGAACATCTGATCAGAGACACTGGCTGCAGTTCTTCATGACTGAGGCAAATTTAGGACCAAGACTTATTTTTAGAGATTGGGAGAAAAAGATTGAAAATAATGGGCTGCTTTGCCAGTCTGTGACAGAGTATCACTAGCCAGAAGCAAGTGAGAGTGAGAAGGAATTGTTAGCTCTGGCAATAGCTGAGAGTTTAAAATATGGATGATTCAAGTATTCTGAGGAGGAGGGGGTTACAGGTAAGTGAAATTGAATCTTATGAATTTTTCTCTTGCTATGGGGAACAGTGCTCTACAAATTAAAATAAAGTAATGAAACAAATTCTGTATTAGCAGAAATGTAAAATTGAAGCTAGAATTAGAACTGTTTTTATCAGTTATGTATACTCTTACAAATGGGACTTTGTGATAAAATTGATTTTCTAGTTTATATTAGTTAAATAATTAAATAAATTACCTTTTACTCAAATTTATTTTCCATAGAACAAAAGTCAGCATTAAATTATTATTTTGAAATGTACACTGTCAGATATTAATTAATATTTATAAAAACTGTACTGTAATTCTTCTTGGCTTGCTTTAAACCAGTCATTTAAATTTTGTCTTATTTAGAGATTAAATTTGTCAAAGCTGAATGAGAATTTTAACATGATTTTAAAAGGGTGTGCTTACTTTTTACTTTGAATGTTGAATAATCTACTTATAGGTTGCAAATCTAGAGTGTAAAGTGTGTTATGAGGTAAAGATTACAGAAACAATGGCTGTGATGTTTTAGGTCTCTTCCATTTGCACATTAGTGAGTGGGGCTGTTTTTTTGGCAGAAGTTTGTTTAATATGTAAGTGAAGCATATTTCATAGTCTGATCAAGTATAATTGAGAGAAACTTCTAGAGCGGGGTAGGGAACCTTTTTTGGGTCAGGGGCCACTCACAGAAAAATCAGCCGGAGGCCCCCCACAAATTAAAAGGACCCCCCCAACACACAATCAAAAAAATACCCCTCACTCACTGAAGTGGCCCCTGACTAAGAAGGAGAAAGACGCTCCTTATGTTCCCCTCAAACACCAGAGCTTGAGGGGGCCCAGCCTAGTGTGTACCACACCTGTAATAGGGCAGTGGGGGGGCTGGAGTGCCAGTGTAGGCTCCCCAATGTTGTGTGTGTGGGGGGGGTCCTAACCCTCGGGGGGGGGGAAGGTCCAAACAAGCCCACCTCTTTTCTAAAGTATAAGAATAGACACTAGAATGTAGCTTAGTACCTTTGTCCATGTTAATAGAGGATGGAGGCTGAACGGGTTCTCACAAACTAAAAACCAATTTAAAATTACTGAGCCCCAGGCATGTTTGTGTACTGTGGATATAAAAGGGCTTCTCTGCTTGTTTATTATCACTTTTTTTGGGTATTGCAATTCTTAAACTGTTACAATGTGATACAACTTTTGAATTAAGAACAAATATTTATTTAGGGAAGCTATTGTTGGTGAATGTTAGTTAAGAAACAAAAGAGGGAAAATAGTGGGCATAACTTTTTAGCTGTGTAGTAAATTATTGTAACAAAGTTAACATATATACATCTCTAGCTATCTCACTGACTTTATTTAAAATGAGTTTTTTTCTGTTAGCCATCTTTCACCTTGTTTTGTCTTTTTAGTAGATGTATATTTTGTTTTCTTTGTATGCCAACATATTGATACATTTCTAAAATTCTTGACTGATTTGAGATGGAGTATTCTATTTGGTTTGGGGGGAATTCTTTGAAAATGCTCTTATAAATGTGTAGGTGTGTACATGCCGCCTTCTGCAAATGATGATGTATTTTACTTAGGGCACACCATAGTTTAACAAAATATAACACTAAGATTGAGAGCTTGTTTTCCAATAAATTTGTAACCGATTTCCAGTAATGTTCATCAGTTGAAACCTGGTGGTCAGTGCCAAATGCATGTGAACTTGCAAAACCAGTTCCTGACAGCAAATTCATCAACAATATTTGATTCTTGGATACTGATTGTTTAGAGCTTTCTCAAACCAGTTACTTTCTGTGATGTACTAGCTTCTTGGCTTATAATGTTCAAGTTAAGTTTAAAATATAAAAGTCCATGTTTTTTCATTTAGCTAGTATTGTACTATAATTTTAACATAGCTGAAAATACTAGTGCATCAGTAGGTATCTTGTATACATAAAGCATCAAGGAATAGAAACTTTTCTCTTGCTTTCGTAAAATTATTGGTTTATTCTCAAATATTTTGTATGTGTGTTCTACAAATTGAACAGGAATAGCTCTCATGTGGTGAAAATATTTGTCCAAACTCAAGATGAGTCAACTAATTATAATAAGGAAAACTATTACATTGATTAAGGTTTGACTCAAATGTCAGTATTAGAGCTGGTCTGGAAAGGGCATGTGAAAATTGAGCGGAAGAATAAGATACCTGCTAAATACTTCCACTAACCAGGTTAAAGGATGTTCAGCACAGTAATATGTAGGTTTGTAACTTTTAAAAAATCTTTATAGATTCTGAGAAGTCTTTTAGTTGGATGTATGCTTACTATCAATGCCTCAGAATTCATCAGATGGTGTTTTGTGTAGCCTCTGACTTTCACTTGAATTTTTTTTCCATTCATGAGTTAAAATTTTTACATCCAGTAATAAAGGTACATTTGAAAATGGCATACTATTTTTACAGCTTCCCCCATGCCCATCTTATAGGACTAGATCTCTGATGGGTCAGCTCGGTATGCCTGTGGAATTATTCAGTATCAGTTGTCAGTCCCAGGATGATGCCCTTTGAGACGTCAGCAATGAACCTGGAATCGACTTGTAGACCTTTCATGATCTGTAAAGAATTTACATGCATGCACACACAGACTCTGTGTCAAATATCAAGCAGAATCTGCTTTTTGTAGCCATTCAGGATGCTGTTCTGTATTTGGCTTGCTTTTTTTTATTTCTTTTGCAGGTCTCTATTAAGGCTGACACTTCATTGTTAGCTCACCCTGTTGTGTCTACTCTTGACATATTGCAGCATGTATGTTTACCATCCATGAAAAGTCCTGTAATATTTAGGAGCAGTGTAGTTAATATTTTTTGGTTTTGTTCCAAGAAGTGGTTAATTTAAGTTGTACAGGAGTTATTAGACTGTATACCAACTGTTTGACACTGCAATATAATATTAGAGGATTATTTCTTTGTTTAAATGTAATGTGCTTTGGATGAAATATTAAATCAAGATCATGCCCTAGTAGTGGATTACTTAGGAAGCTTGTGAAATTCGTGTCAGTGGACATTTTAAAGAACAGGTTAGACAAACATCTGTCAGGGATGGTGTAGCGATACTTATTCCTTCCACAAAGTTAGGGAATAAATTAGAAGAACTAACATTCCTCTTTGAGAATTTGACAAGAACTGAAAAAGGCAAGAACCTGAGATCCTCTTGGAGTCGCTGCAACTTCTGGTGTTAGTGGTGTTTCGAAAGACGTTTTACTTGCTGCCTGTGTTGGAAATGTATGAGGAGACGCGAGACTTTAAGTCGAAAGAAGATGATGATCAATAGTCTATGTCTACTAGAAATGTGTTTTAAAGTACATTAGGCTGCACTGAAACCACACTAGTAACTGCAGATGGAGAAAAGTATCTTCTTCGTTATAGAGAGAACAATATCAGTAAGAGACTTAGTTCGCTTTTTTTGGTCTTAGTACTAAAAATAAAAAATTAACAGCTTGCAACCACAACTGCTTCACAAAGAGGCTTCTCCACAAACAATGAGTCCTAATTCAAAGATCTCATAAATGAGAAGTAGTTAAAAATACTTTCACAAGTAATGCAAATTAACTCCTCCTCCACCTAATTTTTTAAAAATTTATTTCAGAAGACTTCAATGAGGCAAAGCATGTTCAGTCTCGAACATGGCTAACTTATGGAGAGAAAAGAAAAAAAATCATTTATTTAAAAAAAAGGGAAAAAGGGGGGGGGGCAAAAGACTGCAGGGGACAGTTGAGGAGATGATATTCTTTTTCACTGGGAGCTCCGTGGTGCCACATTTGTTTACCAGATGGAGAGGCCCTGGAGTCTGGCATCAGGAGGGAAACTGTGGGTGGGGTGTATTTCCCTGATGTCACTTATAACATGTGGCATTGTGGGAATATTAACCATTATGTACTTTTCAGGGATTTATCATAAATGTATATGGGCTCAGTATTTACATGTTTATATTTGTGCCATTTAAAAATATTTTAAATGCATCAGTGCCTCATAAAACTCAAGTAGATATGTATACTCAGGAGCAATCTAGTGGCGCATCTTTTCCACATGTTGGAGTCTGTTGTTTTTTAGAGCTAGGAAATACATTTAGAAACATGTAAGAGTGACCGTTTTGTTTATAATTTGTAATGACAATCCTCAGAAAAAAATAAAATTCTGCTGCCTGATAATAAAATTGCTAAGATCACAAATTTAAATCCATATACTCAAATTTACTGAGAGCAATACGTTGGTAATGGTAGATTAGTCTTGATGAGCATACATTTCTATATTAATTCAGACTTGATCTGCGTGATTCTATGAAAATACCTGTAATGTGAAAAATACAATCAGATTGTACAGTAGGAGATAGAACAAAACTATGTGAAGGTCTCTCTTGTCAACTTTGATCATATATGCTTCTCACCCTACTGATATTTGCTGACATGAATATTATTAAAACGAAGGTCACAAACTTTTCCATTTGGCTTGTTCAAGGATTCATTTTTATCTTGCCCCATCAGATAAACAGTAGGGCAAACCTGGTCTTTTGTCCCAATGGCATTTTCTGGCTTTGCTATACCACCTGGCTTCCATGACACAGTTGATGTTTAAATTCCAGTACAGTTTCTCTGACCAGTTTACTGCAATGAATAAATCAGAAACTCATTCAAATTTCTGGTTTTTTTTTTCCTTAACTCGATCAGAGGGCTTCTATCCCACCCTCATATTTCTTAACCTCTTTTGAATTTTGATCATAAGCGCCTTCTAGAAATCTTTTCCTAACTTAATTTTCACAAGACATGCATTCTCCTATATTCTTATATGTTGCTGATTGTTCGTTCAACATCTTGAGTGGATTGTTCTTTTTTCTGTTTTGGTGGTGTTCCTACAGAGCTTAGTCCTTGGATACCTCCTCTTGCCTGCCTGCATTTTATTTCTAGATTTTCTGATCCATTCATGATAGCTTTTGACATTTTTTTGCTGATGACTCACAGATTTGT